CCCTTAAACGCAAATAAAAAATTTGTTATTTATATCCGCATATTTCATTATACTTGTGCTACATAACAATAAACCCCACCCACTACTATCAAAATGACTCATCCCTTGTGCTACATCTCCTAACTTAGTAAGTACACAACATAGTACCGTAGACCACTGACTAAAGTACCCTGGGTATTTTACATTTCCCACTTTTTAGAGGGCTACTTTACTCGGGGGGGTACTTTGGTACACCCATGGTAATACATTGACAACCCCCATAGTAATAGTATTAGGTAATGCATTCTATATAAATAAAGACTTGTCACGCATAACAAATTCGTGTTCTCTTCTACCATGGTTCACGCTAACAAACCCATAAGACATTCTCATATCACTAAACAAGTTCGCAGAAAATGGTCAGCAAAGGAGAAACTTATTGTTGTTTATTATTATTATTGTCATCACTCTATTCGAGAAACAGCACGCAGGTTCGATATAGAACCCAAGCAAGTAAGAGACTGGATAAGTAAAAAATATCAATTAATGGAGGCATCTCCTTTTGCTGAAAAGCTGCATCCTGGCAGAAAAGCGAAATATCTGGCAATAGAAGAAGAGCTCATCTTATGGATTAAAGAAAACAGAGATAAAGCCTGACCCATTACACGAAATATGATTGCATGAAAAGTGAAATCACTCGCAGAAAAAGATATCTATCGAGAGATGTATCCTGATGTTTCCACTAGTAAATTCAGTCATAAGTGGGTTGATGCTTTTATGTCATGTTTCTCTCTTTCTACCAGGTGATGTACTACAATAGTGCAGAATCTGCCTGAAGATCTTGTTGAGAAACAGCAGCAGTTTCTGAGTTTCATTCTATTCAGAAGACGTGAACACAATTATCCTTTGAAATATATTGCAAACCTAGATAAAACTTCTGTTGCTTTTGATCTTCCTAGTATGACAACTGTAGACAAGCACGGCACTAAAACGGTAAGTATTAGAACTACAGGCCATGAGCACAGTTGTTTTACTGTAATGTTATGTTGTTTAGCAGTTACCAGCAACTTGCATATTCAAATTACGTACCATACCTCATGAGGAATTTCCTATGGGTATAAATGTAAGAGTTAATGAAAAGGGATGGTGTAATGAAACAGAAATGTTGTGGTGGATAAATAATGTCTGGTCTAAGAGGCTTACAAATCAATATGAAAGTTCACGATCTCTGTTGGTACTCAATTCCTTTCACGGTCATCTCGTCAATTCAGTGAAGCAGCAATTTGTAAGTAAGAAAACTGATCTAGCAGTGATTCCAGGAGGGCTTACTAGTAAACTGCAGCCATTGGACGTGATGATAAATCATTCATTCAAAGCTAAGGTACTGTATGGATAATCTTACAAGACAATTTGTTATATATTAACTTGAATCTATTATGACAGATGCGCATTCAGTATAATGAGTGGATGACTTCAGAGATACGTGAGCTAACTCGCACAGGAAAAATTTGCAAGCCATCCTACTCAACTTTAGCAAAGTGGGTGAAGCAAGCATGGGATGGCATTGATGTCAATCTAATTATTAAA